ACCACCTTTTTTCCTCAAACTTTTTTTGTTAGGAGAGAATACCAAGTGCACAGATTTTCACGCACATATACAGTTTTGAAAGAATCAATATACTAAGTCAATAGTTCCTATTTTCTGACTTTGCAATTTAAGTTCACATTTCTAACATTTTCTTTTGACAGTTAAATAATGCTTACTCAAATGTTATTTCAGTTTCATGTAGCATACATGCAGCAGATGAGACAAGAGTAATTTAACTCCATTCATTTACAAACATTTTAATTGCTACAGTTTCAGATAGAGTATGACATATTTAGGAAATATCATTTTTTCAGCTTTGCATTTGCCATTAATAATTACACTGTGAATCTAGTAATAACAACATACAATATACAAGTTATCACTGAGATTAGCTTACTGCTAATGCCATTATAACTGCATTTTATCTTACCATTTTTCTCAATTTACTGTTCTTATACACATCACTGCCAGATTCTTCTTCATAATGTCTCAAGAAAATGTGAAAAGCTGAAAATCCTATTGTTCTTCCATTATGTAATTGTTCCATGAATAGCACTCAGGTATACTCCATTGTATTTCTCTCTTTTTTTTTTTTTTTTAGTCTCTTTCACAGAAGCTTTAATTAGAGCTCCTGAAGATGTCCACTTTGATGTACCTACAACCAGGCACTTTATGTCTTCAGTCCTTGTAACTAATGAAGATCTTGACTGTTCATGACAGAGGACTCTTCAAACTAAGAGTTATTAACAGCAGTGTTTTCAGGGAGACTGACCCTGGAAATCAAATACTTTGTTCTGCAGTATTAAAAGCCAACGTTTAATTATAACAAAACAAAACAAAACAAAACAAAAAAAGATTTGGTTTATATTATACACATTTCAGATGTTTTTCTTTTTTTAAATTATATTTTTTTCCTCCATGTCTCTCATATGGATTCTCACTGGAATCCATCCATCATATTAATAACTTTGCACTCAAGTTTTAGTCCCTCTTTCCCTGATTGCATATTGCCTACATTTTGGCATACACTCAGACTGAACTTTACTGCATATCAATAAATTTCTCAAATACAGAAATAGGCATACAGAAAGGTCAGATTGCACTTCAGTACTAATCCTACTGACAATATATACATGAATACAGCAAGATTGGTTTCATGCCGGATTTTCCATAACCTTCAAAGCTATCTTAATAAGCCAGAGAAGCACATGTCCCTTCACACACTAAACCCTAATTCATATTTTCCACTGTGCACAGCATGGTAACCCATTCTCTACCAAAATCTTCATTCTCAGAACATTGTAAAGTAATCCTTGCATTTTTTTGGGGGGGGCAGTTTCTCTCTCATGACTGTCTAGAGACTACAAGGAGCTCAGACTTTCATGAATGGAGGCCCAACAGCATCTGCTCATAGTAACCTGCATTCACTTCAGAGATGGCCTAGACCTGTTTTAGCCAAACACTTGTGCTCTTCTACTTACCTAGTAACACAACCAATCTTCTCCAAAAGAACTTCTGATATTTCCTTCTTTGAGTAACTGAATTTTATGTCAGGATACTACAGTTCATCACATATTCACATGGAGATTATACATTTCTGAGCAGCTGGCCAGGGCTCTGGAGTCAGCAATCACAGTTGCAACATGGAACATAGCAGAGTCCCCAAATTATCAGCATCCTTAAATAATTTCCTTGTTACCAGGGATCTCAAATTCTATGAGAGTCATAAATGTTGTTAGAAGGCAGCAACAATCAAGTACACACAAAAAAAATTCTGCTTAATAAAAACACATCATAGGGCACTAGTGCTTAAACACAGTGAGTGCTCAGGTACTGTGTGTATGGCATGCATAGGAACATCAGAACCACTCTAGCTGCTGCCTGCTTGTCCATCAGCTTTCTTACAACCTGAAGCTAACTTCTCTTTCTTAACAGCAGCAGAACAGGTGTAGAACACCATGTAACTTAACTGAGGCTTACGACGGCTTTCATTCATAGCATACTGGGAGGGCAGTATTCTGTGCACCTGGCAGAATTACTAAAAGAGGTGTAGGGTTATAGCACTTAAGGAAAAAAAAACAAACAAACAACACAACAGTAACAGTTTTCAGCATTTCCACAGAGATTCCCAACATGATTCTACAAGTCTTGGTGGTAAAATTTTCTTCTCTTTTAATATACAAAGGGGGTCCTAAAGAAGTCTGCTGGGTCTTTGTACCCACAGAATATATTTAGCAGTAGGGACTAAAAGGCCAATTATTAACACCTGCAGGAAGCGTAAGTAACTGTTCCATAAACTTAAAAGATATGCTGGGCTTTTTTATTACCATGTGGATCTTTAGCACAAAACTTCCTTCATCTTAAAACCTGTTTGTTGAACACTGCTTGAAATGATGCAATGTTCCTGAGGAAAAAAAAAAAAAAAATAGGAATGTACTGAAGAAGAACAAAGAGTGCCATCTACTGTTGTCACTCAACAGAAGACTGCTGAATGTTCATTTAATTTCCTTACCTTCCACCATGAACTAGAGTATGTATGCATAGCCTCACAATTAGCTGTATTGCCCCATTTTTATTGCATATGTAATTTGCTGACAACACTCTTTAATCTTGTTTCTGGAATTCTCCAGGGAACTGGTTAATGGTACGCACTGAGCCTTCAGCAACTTTAGTTCAAATCTCAGTCAGCAAATTTCTTCCAGCTCTCAACACGCAAAAGCAGAGAACTGCAAGATTGCTGAGAGAATTCACTATGCAAGTATCACTAGGCAAATATCACTATCTGTTCTTCCTGTTCATATATGTTTCCCCAGGAATCTGCAACTGGAAACTGATGAGCACATTCTAATTTTTTATCTGTTTAATAAAAGTGCATGAAAGAACTGCTTCCCTGTCACAACCTTAGCTTGATAACAGCACTAAAAACCAACCAACCAACGAAAAACCCAAGCACGTAAGTCCTAAAAATACACCTAATATCTGTAGAAACAAAGCAATAATTAGTGGTTAACAGATGGTAGAATGCAGTATTATGATTTTTCCTGAATATGGTACACTTCAAATCAAGTAAATTATCAGACAAGTATCCGATTCCCTCAATTTAAACAAAAACAAACTAAAATAAACATGGCTCTGAATGTTTCCGTAGAAGAAAGTTCCCAGAAACCTCTTTAACTACCAAGTATCCTTCATTAGGCCTTTTTCCTCAGCCCACCTGAAGGGATCTTTATTTTCTAGCCTATGGTTTCCAGTAAAGATCAACTTCTGAGTCTTTACAAAATACAAACTTGTACTTTCTACAGCTTCAACACCATATCAGCCTCACTAATACAAGTGTTTTTATAGTAACCTTCATATCTTCAATTCAGGAGAAACAGCTACCTAAGGGTTACCACCTCAGTCTCATCAGAGATTAATGCTTTGGTGAACTCAGCCAGACATAGCACTAAAAGTTTAGCTAGGGGATTGAATAACCTGAAAAAAGTCTGCCAAGGTCACATGGAAGCTAATCTCTGCAAAGTCCCATCTTACGGAATCAATGCTGCATCAAGCTAGGGGAAAACAAAACAAAACAAAACAAAACAAAAAAACATTGAAGGAAACATATTTGAAAAACAGGAACAGAAACAGAGTGTCTGGTAAAGCCAGGCAAATCCATCCCTGTCACAGGAAGTCAAAGATTTTTGTCTGGGAGAATGAAAACAAGTCTACTGCAGTATACAACCTGCAGCACCTGGGGCCTGGAAAGGACCAGAGGGACAAATTCAAAACCTTTGGATGGAACTCATGGAAGGTAACTCATCTACTGCTAGTGATGAAAGCCAGGTCTGCATCTTTCCCCTAGCAACAGCTAATGAGCATCCACATGACCAAATGTGTTTATATAGCTGCAGCAGTTTGACTTAAAGGAAAGGGGGAAAGGAAGACAGATATTTTCATAGGATCATATATTTTGCTTGTTCTCATTTGGACACCATGAATAAGTTTCTCTCCCTACTCTAGAATTACCATGTGTTACCCATACTCATGTAAATACAGCATCCAGTAATGCATTAGTAAATTCTATTCTGAAATGATACAGAGACAGTGCTATTGAGTAATGTAAAATTTAACGTCACTCCAGAGAAAACAAGCATGAAAGGATGCTGCAATGAAGACTGCAAAATATAAATGTTACAGGTGTTCTTGCAGATACTGCAGGGGGTGGTGAGGTCAAGCACACAGATAAGTATTATCCTTGAATTGATAATACAGGCTCAGGAATAGATTTTCAGTGGCGCTCCAGTTGTTACTACATTTTGTCATTGTCCTTCCTCTGCTGTATTTTTTTCTTTCCCACTTTTCATTTTCCAGGATGCCATCAAAAGGCACTGCATGGGAGATTTAAAAACAAAAAACAAAAACCAAAAACACCTAAATTGATACTACCTTACTTTCTGGCAGTATTGGTTATGATATAAACAGGAAACGAAAGGACTGGACACTGGAAGTGAAAATGAGAGAAGTGAGCCAGAGGAGTGGATCTTCAGCTGTGAAGTACTTTTCCAGGACAGGGGAATGGGATATGATTCCTGAGCAGATACATATTTCTTCCTGAAATTCTGTGTTTCAACAGAACAAGAGCTGATATTTGGCCACAGAAAGATCTAGTAAGGTATAGATATATGCATAATCTCTGGCTTCAGTACTATTCATGGTAGTCAACTTTTGCTTGCAAAACCAAAAATTATCTTTGAAGTGCAGTCAGAGAAGGTTCCTAAAACTGAAAAATAAATAAATAAAAATGAGGTGTCATTCCTGTCTTCAAGAGGGGTTTCAGGTTACATAGCCTTGCTTCAGTCTGTGGGAAGTTAATAGTGTAAATAACCCTGAAAAATATTTCCATCGATAAGAAAGACAAGAAAGTGATTGGCAGTTGTCAGCATAGGTTTTCAAAGGAGAAATCACATCTGATCAACTAAGTTAACAACAGTGTAATATTATCTCCATTTTCTCTCTTACCTCTGAACAAAGTTAGCTGTCTCAACTTCTCCTTGTGTGTCTTGGGCTTCAGACTCCTAATCATAGCAGAAATCATCCATTGACTTGGTCCAGTAAACTAGTATCTTCCTTGTCACTGGGGAGCCCCAAAATAGAGACAGTAGGCTGCAGTTTGATAAAGCCAGACTTTATTTTCAAAAAGATACAACTGCACCATAGCCTCTAGTCCTAGGATTCTTCTGCCTAAAAGATACAGCTCTAAATTTGAAATGGGCTACCTCTTTCAAAATTCACCACTTCAGTGTGCTCTACAACTACATCTGTGACAATGTTTTTCTGCAAGTGACAATTTTAAGACTAGATCCATTCCTATGTGTTTCTTTTTCAAAATATCATGTGAGCCCACAACTCTAAAAATTGAACCTGTAAATAAAAATTCTGCCATTAGGCCTGCAGCTGTTTGATCTGCAGTTCTAAAATGTAGTCTTAGCAAAAAAAAAAAATGTTCTGTGCAATATGATTTACGCAGTTAGCACTGACTTGGAAGACTTCGAAATGCCTGTGCAATTTGATCTTTCTCAAAGGTCTTCTAGGCATGCGTGTAGCCTGCTAAACTTTTTTTTTTTTTTTTTTCTCCTGAATTGACTCATTATATAATTCCCTTTCTAGTGCCTTAAAGCTTACATCCAAAAATTTCTTCCTTGTACATGGATGAGGAAGCTCAAATTTCTGTCCCTGCCACAGATACTCACAAAGATTAATGTGCAGCTTTCCTTTACTCTGCTGTAGGAACTCTGTGCAGGACATCTGATAGGAATGCACGTATCAGCTCAGCTGGTTTACTCTCCTAGATCAAACTCTTAACAATTTCACTGAAATTTCTGACGCATAAACGTCTTACAAAACTTATGTTCAGAACAGTGTCTAAAATCTCTGCCACTATCTTCCCAACATTGGATTTTCAAGTATAGAATTGGTGTGTTATTATGGGAGACAACCTTGAATTAATATACATATAATATTACATTGCCTGTGAAGAGTGAACAAGTCAAAACATCATTACCACAGCAACTCCTCTAGCCAATGATGAAAAGGTCAGTTAAGCCTAGAAACATATCTCTGTAGCTGCAGAGGAACAGCATTGTGGAATGACCCATGAATCTGTAAAATCTCAAGTTGCAAAAAAAATTAAAGGGGGATGGGAATTAACTGACCTCTGCTCAGCCCTCCTGATACAAAATGTCGTGGATCTCCCACACATGTGCCAGAAAATTGCAATACATGATTACTCTCAGTTTATATGCTTTTAGCACACAGATAGTAAGAACAGGCCAATAGATACTAACACAGTATTGATGTGTGTTAAATGTACAAATATTTATAGTTCTGCAATTATTGCCATATTTGAAAGTGTCCTGTATAAGTACTTATAATGTGTGTAAATTGATTACTATATTCTGAGATCAAACCTTAACTAATTTGAACAGTTGGCCTGAGCCATTTGGCCCAAAAGCACCATCAGAATTATGAACTGCTAAGGACAGGCAATAGACAAACACCATAAAGTAATAACCATGCACAGCTCCACGATCAAAAGGTGGAGCTTTCTAGCTCTGTTTGTCTTCTCTGTTGCTGAATACTACCCAGTTTTTCCACTCTCCTCTCCTGATTCTTTAAAGAAAGACAGTGACCATGAAGAAGCACAAGCTCTGAAGTAGATTTTATACAGAATGCTCAGTTTCTTAGATGAAGAGGATGAGATCCTTCAGAACAAGTATATGTCTGAGAAAATGTCTCTCTCGGTCGAAGATTCTGTTCCTTCTGCTCCCTCCTCCACTTCTCTGAATGTTAAGAACAAGAGGCAAAAGAGGCCACGATGTGCCATACACTCATGACCTTAAGCAGAAAATACAATGTTAACATTAAGTTCCAGAAATCCAGACAAAATCACAATGGTTGCCCTACACTTAATAAATATCTCTATGCCTTCTTGCCCTTTTATGACAATAGCTGTACTGTAACATGAATGCAGTGAATTATGTGCTAACACACTATAGTCATACATCAAAGAAATGTAAAAGTATTTAATTTTCAACCCATCCTGTAAAATGGCATAATGTGGTACTTCTGAGCTGAAAAAAAAAAAAAAAAAAAAAAAAAAAAAAAAAAAAAAGAATCAATGCAGCAATTCTGAAAGAAGAAAGCTTCAGAGAAAGTCACAGTGAATGTGGAGTGCATAATTAAGAGCAGGATCTAACACTGGCAGGGCTGTTGTTTTTTTTTTTCCTTGTAATTATGTTTGGCCTCTTCTGCTCTGGACAACGACCCAAAAGAAGTAAAATCTGGTTATTTTTCCAGAACGTAGTGGGGCTTAGAAAGAATCCTGAAGAGATCTTTTGTGGGATTAGCAGAATAATTTAATAGGCAGTCATGTTGGTAGGTAGAGAACAAAAATATATTTGCATTTCAGACTGTCTGTAAGGTTTGGGAATAGTGGAGGAAGAGAAATTGAAGCCTGAAGCTATTCTGCACTGAGAAAAAATCCTTGACAGAAAGTAGATGAAAGAGATGAAGTTAAGAGACTAAGACTCTAAAAAAAAAACAACATGCAAAACATCAATTTAACTTTTAGGCTAATGCAATATTGTTTAATGTACACAACTAAACAGTTGATTTTTTTCTCATTTTTAAAATACAGAATCGTGGAATCAGAATAATTCAGGTTGGAAGGGACCTTAGAAGTTCATTCCATCCAAGGTCCACTAGGAGGCCAGGTCAGGGTTTTATTCTGCTGGCTTCTGAAAAATCTCAAAGAATAAACGCCCTACAACTACTCTGGACAACCTATTCTATTGCTTGTTTGCCCCTATGGGAAAAAGTTTCTTCTTACATCCAGCCAAACCTCTAGTTTAAATTTTTGCCTACTGCATCTTATCCCTCTACCAATACACCAAAGGAGTCTGGATTCATCTCTTTTGATAATTTCCTCATAGGTGTTGGTAGGCTGCTATGAGATATTTCCCTAGGTCAAACAAGTCTATTTCTCTCAGTCTTGCACCAGGGACAAATGCTACAACTCCCTAAACATTTTGACTGCTCTCTACTGCAGTACTTCTACTTTTTCATTATCTTCCTTGTATCTGAGCTACCCAAAGCTAGTGGCAGAAGTTGCCTAATGAATGTTGAATTCATTACTCTCCCTGGTATCCTGTTAATACAGCCCAGGAGACTTTTGGCATTAGTTACTGCCAGGGCACACTGATGGCTTATGTTCAGTTTTTTGTCCAGTACTTAGCAGTGCTGCTTCCTGACCACTTAGTCCCAGTTTGTATCACTGGAAAATTAAAATTATAAAATAATGTACCTTAGACCTCTAGAGGCCATCCATCCCAATACCCTTTCTCAAGGTTTGATAAAGTAGTATCCATTGTCTAAACATGAAATGTACATACCCCAAAACAATCTACAGGCAGTTTAAAAAAATTATTTCAAAAGATATCTTGACAAAACTATTATTATTACTGATTTCCAAATACATCATAACTAATGAAAGCTGATACTATAAAAAAAAGTAAAATTACAGCAGATGCAAACATAATGGAAGCATTCAAAATCAAGTACTGATGACAGCAAGGGCTGGGATGGTGAAGGATTTTAGTGAAATGTGTATTAGAATGAGTAAGAGACCAAGGTTCACTACAGTTGCGCTGGGAATTTGAGCCAGCTTTTGAGCACAACCATGAAAATAAGGAAAATATTCAGGGCAGATAAAATGACAGCTTGGAAGTGTCCATAGCAATGATGATAATCCAGACTTCCAGGCTCAGTCTATTTTTATACTAGTCTCAAAGCTCTGAAAAGACTGCCCAAAGCAGTCTGTGCATATGCAACAGCCAACAAGACATTTGGAGACAGCCAACAATGAGCAGTCGCTGGCCCCACAGCAAAACTGCAGTAACATATTTCAAAGCAGAGAAATTAAGTATACATGTCACTAGCCTCTACCTGTGTGCAGCTCTTTTCTCTGCTTTGGCTGAGGATCTGCTGAAGTGCTGCATCACTCACTTGCTTGTTCATTGTTTTCTGACAGCTTTTTTCTTCCCTAATAGAGACACAGAATATATCTATTAACTCTTCCTTTTGCCTTCTGAAATAGCTTCCATTTGTGTCCCTTAGAGAATCTCAGCTCTGCTCACATGCATGGGGTCACAGACAGCTGAGGAACATAGAAAGGGGTAGAAAAGCATGGACAAAATCAAAGGGCCAAAAATCTAAGGAGCCCCCATCCGCCAAAGTTTTGACCCTCCAAAAACATGGAAGGGGTCACTGTTGAATACGTCTTTCTCAGATATGTTGATCTTGTCCATCTTGGTCGATCTTGGTTAGCATGAGACAGTAATTGTTGGCTGGACCCAAGCTGTGGGAAGCTACTGTTGCTGGTGTTTCAGCAGAGGCAGCTCAAGCCAAGCCATGCTTAACTTCTAACTATAGACAAAGCAGCCTTGTCTTAAGCCAAAGATCTGTTCATTCACCAGCAAAGCAGTATGTCCTCCTCTTGGGAAGAGCATGGAGGAAAGTTTTTTCTCTACAGGCGAAGAAGTGAGCAATGGGTGAACCAAGCATGAGACATTCATCATCACATCTCCCACTGCTCTCTGCAGTACAGCTCTGGTACCATCCCTCCATGTGACAAACCAAACAAGGAAGAAAGGTAGTGGGAAAACCTAACAGTAACATGACAACAGTAACATGACTGCACAGCACAGTCAACAACTCAGATGTTCTTGAAAGCAGCATAAAGTAACAACTCCTGATTGTGCATTTGGAGATCTCTGCTTTGGGATCAGATTTGGTGATGCACAGAGAAAAATGTGCCCTTCACCAACTCCAGCAAAACCCTGAGAGACCAGATGGCCATAGACTAATGTGCATGCTATGGAAAAGAATAGCAAAACAATTTCAGACTGTGTTCAATTCTCCTGATGTGTGACTTCTGATCAGGACATCTGAGTATGTACATTGACTTACTTCATTACTAAGACATTTATAAGCTATTTATATTTTGCATTTTGTATTCTTTTAATTGATCATTAAAGACAAGAAAGTTCCTAATAACTTTCCCCCATGGAACTGCCTGTTTAAATTGAGAGTGTTGTAAATTATTTCACAAGCAACAGCTAGAAATGTTTAGATAGCTCAAGATAACTCCAGTACTCCTAAATGAAATCCACTTCACAATGGAACATACCCTACAAACACAAAATGTTTAATTTATGAAAAGCTAAGAAAAAAGTGTGTAGGACATGACTTGTTCAATACAAGGACATCAGAAATTGATATTCCATTTTTCAAAGATACTTTAAAATATGGATCTTACAATGAAAGGCACTTTATTTTCTTAAGGCAGAAACTACAAATGAAAAAAATAACTAACTATCCACTAATTCTAAGACTCATTAAATAAAAAATGAAGCATTTCCTGTGTTGGTAAAGAATTTGTACAACAAATCTCTTCTCCATTCCTCTGAAGCTTCTCAACATCAAGTATAAAAAGACATATCCAAGTAGTGTTTAGCAGAGTGCTATAGAATCTGCTCAACCTAGGGGTGAGCATTTAAATTAGGGTTTCCTTACCTTTTTTTTCCAACATTTTGTTTTTCTTCACCTTATGTATAAACTTAAGATAAATGTGTGATTTTCGATTCCTTCCTGTGGAAAACAAATGAAGATTTTCATTTGCTAAAAGGGAAAAAATGCTTTAATCAGCCCACCATGGGGAGGATTTTTTATCCAATCTGCTTGAATAATATGGTAGCGCGGTTAGAAGAGGCTGAGTTTTACATACCACTTGATCAAACTACTTATAATGAAAAGACCAGTCATATTTATATATTACCATTGCACTGTACATTTCCTTCTACAGTACTTTTTAAAAAAATTAGGATGTAAACATAGCATAGTGGCTCTGCAAAATGCTGCAGAAGGGTAAATATACGGGTGTTTACTTATAAAATAGCAATGTGCATCTGTTAATTCTTTAGTACATTAATTTCATATTTCACATTTCATTCTCCGCTGAAAATGTCTGAGACTTAACCTGTACTACATCAAAGTGCTGGTTATACTTACATATCTGCTACCACCTTGTGACGAAAAGCGTTACTGGCTTTATTGCAGAAGGAACTCCTATTTCACTGTTAAAAAGACAGAAACAAAAACCTTACAATCTTGTTACTTTGGCTAACAGTAAAAGCTACATAAACTTTTTAATACAGTGCACTTTAGCCTCAATGAGCCATTGATGGTCCATCCACTCATCTTGTCTGTAGCACAGACTCACCAGTGGCCAGCCTACTTTGCTCATAAAGTGGCTTCATTCACTTAAATGAAATGAACCATCAGCTATTGGCAGAAGGTTACTCTAGTCGATTTCTGAGCAGTCAAAAGCTGATTCCACTTTGCAAAAATCCCAAACCATTTAATTTATTACACTAATTATAAGATTTATCAAATGACAAGTCAATTTCTTCTGGCACTGTTTCCCTATCTAAAATATTTTTTCATAGTTTTAAAATTTAGAGGAAAACATTAGTAGAAATGATTGTCTTTTTACTACCCTGCCTAATTTTACAGTGCCTTAAGTAATTCCCTTGATTTGCTTCCAGCTACTGTTATTGTTGAAAAAAAAGAACACCAAAACCCTAAAGCAAAAGGGAGAAACATCCCTCAGTGTCACCTATCTGGCGCTACATTGTTGATGCATGACAGTAAAAAGAAACTAGTTTACAGTGTTGGCCTGTATTTGGCTATGTAGTAGAGTAAGTGAGAATAGTGTTAGTAGTATTTACTTGAGCAAGCACTTCTGAACACTCCAGCGGAAAAAAAGAAAATGAAAAAAAGAAAAAAGAAAAGAGAAAAGAGAAAAAAAAAAAAAAAAAAAAAAAAAAAAAAAAGAGAGAGAGAAAAGAGAAAAGAGAAAAGAAAAAAGAAAAAAGAAAAAAAGAAATCCCAGATTTCAGGTCTGGCAAACCAAAACCACAGAAAACAAAGCAAAATAAATACATAAATAAATAATGAAAGCAGACTGTGGAGCAATGGTAGGATAGCATGACAGTGTGTCATGTTTGACACAGCTAATCCCATTAAGATTTGTAAGGTCTGGTGGGAAGCCAATGAATCTGAGCTTGAAATCCCTAAAAGCAATGGGTCTCTCACAGCCCTGCATGCATTTAGTGAAAGGAGTTATTAACCCTTTCGATGTCTTATTCCTTTTAAATTGTGCAATAAGATTATTAAAATACGTATGTTCTTTGCTTTTGGCAAAGAAGTAGCACTCTTCACGTGACTCCAGTTACTGCGTGGAGTTGGTTAGCTCTTTTGTTGGTTCTTTTTGGTTTTGGTCCCTCTTACTAATGCTAACTTTATAACTTCAGGCTGAAACACTAAACACCAGAGCGTCTCACAGTCTCCTGAAGCACTATTTCTGAGGACTACCACCTTACACACAGAACCAGAAGAGGCAGCACCTTACACAGGCTGTCTGCCACAGACGCGACCTGAGCTCAGAACAGCCACCTTTCTACCCCGCCCACTTAAAGGCGCAGCCCCCATTTTCCCGCCCCATGAGGCACCTCCCTTCCAAGCCAGCGCCGCGGGGCAGGGATCCAGATGCTGCAGGTTCTCGCGAGAAGACGGTTTCTCTGGTTATTTGGGCGTCTTCTCGCGAGGCTTTGGCCGTGTTGAGGCGGAGTGTCGTCGTCGCCATGGAGCAGCAGCTGCACGGTCCTCCGGGGCTGTCCACCATCCTAGCGGTGAGGAACCGCCTGTAGGAGGGAAGGGGAGAAGGCAGCGATCCGTGCGTGTAACGGGAGCCTTCCTTTCTGTTGGGGGAGGGCTGCTCGCGCTGGGTCACGCAGGTGAGCGCGCTCCGTGACGGAGCTGGGTTTTGGTTGCGGTGCGGGAGGCGGCAGGGCGCTCGTCACGGCCGGGGTCGCGCCTCACGTGGTCGCCGCCTCTCCTTTCTCTTTCTCCACAGAAGACGGACTGGGCCGAGCCCTGGCTGCTGGGGCTGGCGGGTTTCCACGTCCTGTGTTTCCTCCTGACCTGCTTCTCTTTCCAGCACTACCGGGTGCAAATAGGGCACTTTCTGTGCATGGGTGAGTAGTGCATCCGTGCTTCCGTGAACTCCTTTCGGATGGTTTTCTTGTTTAGCAAAGAGTTTTGCAACTGATAAAGGGAGCACAAAGTATTTATCTTATGGTAATGCATGTGTCTGTATATTATGTACTTAACTATTTCAGAGCTATAAGCTACAGATACTTAGCTTACAAGACTGTGTGAAGCAGAGACTTGAAACTATTTTTACTGTTAGGAAGGAGAGGTGACTTATAGATAGGCTTGTGCATGGTTAGTGCTGTGTGTTACACAGCAGCCCAGGAAACTGTTGTTGCACTGGCGAAGCAGACAAGAAATTGAAAGACAGAAGCTGTTTCCTATTCTGCAGTATTTAATGATGGAGTTTGGTCAATACAGTCAGCTTTCAGATGGATTCATTTCTGGAACAGGGTTACTATAAGCCCTGCTGCCAGCTGTGACAGTGGTGTGACAGAGCAAGACTTTACAGAGGCCATTTTTTAAATTAAATTTCAGTCTGGAGAAGAGGAGGCTTAGGGGAGACCTTATTGCTCTCTATAACTACCTGAAGGGAGGTTGTAGTGAGCTGGGGTTTGGCCTCTTCTCTCGTGTAACTGGTGATAGGACTACAGGGAATGGCTTCAAGCTGCACCAGGGGAGATTTAGGCTGGATGTTAGGAAATACTACTTCTCTGAAAGGGTAATCAAGCACTGGAATGGGCTGCCTAGGAAGGTGGTGGAGTCACCGACCCTGGAGGTGTTCAAGGAATGTTTGGATTTTATGTTGAGAGACATGGTTTAGTGAGAACTATTGGTGATAGGTGGATGGTTGGACTTGGATGATCTTGTAGGTCTTTTCCAACCTTGGTGATTCTGTAATTCTCTGAATTAAGATAGCATGGGTTTGAGTTAAATCTATATTTTACAAGCAAACCCTTGTATGCTTTATGAGAACCCTTGGTTCTTGCCATGGGTTGGGTTTTCCAGTTTGTATTTTTTGTTGTTGTTTTTACCCAGTACCTCAGTTGCGACACGTTCCTACAGTAGTAGAGGTAGGATAAACAATTCAGATGGGTTTGCAGTCAGTGCCTGAAGGCTACATTGACTTTTAAAAATGCCACTTAAATCACATTGGTGGAAGAATCATAGTTTCATTAAAACTTCTGATATATAGCTAAAGCCAAAGTTTCAGTAACAGAAATTTCCTCCAAAAGGTACTCTACAAATCAGTAATTTCTATACTTCTCTTTGAACTGCAGAGTTTACAATGATCCACAGCGGGCCAAATCAAAATGCCCTGCTTATGACACATCAGACTGGAAAGTTCCCTAAGAAAATACAGGATTTTCTTTCTTACTTTCATTACTAGACATACAGAATTGCCATAACATCCTAGGTCTATTTACCTCAGACTATCTAAAGTATTCCCAGTGTTAATAACACTAGCTTGAATGCCCAACTTCTAAGTGTGCTTGAAATACATTGGAACTGATAATTACTGGCTTTTTAACCCAGATGTGATTGATGTATGATTGTTGTTAACAAGAAGAGTGGATTAAAAAAACCCACATTAAGTCCTGGTCAGTTTGTATTTGAAAAACTGTATTACTTTTGGTATATCTATAATAAAAATAACTTTGTATTGCAGGTAGGCAGACATAATTAAAAATATACATTAAATTGTCACATTGATTCACCTTGGCAGCTGAGCAGCTATACAGGTATTTATATTGTATAGTGCCATGCTGAGAGAATCGAGCTGATGGCAAAAACAAGGTAGCATATCCATCATCATGGCACTCCTTGTATCACCAAGCTAGTTGTTCAGTCACGTTGTGGAGGTCATCTCTAAAGTCACTGAATCCGATTTTTGCTGATTTTTGGTGGGGTAAGAAATGATACAGAGATAAACTTAACGTTTTGTGATTCTATTGCTTTCCTGTTAAACTTGTGATTGTCTTACTGTTTTGGTATTTTTATACTGCATGTATTTGTTGAGTAAGAAAATATTAGCTTTTATCTTGCTGCATCAGAATATTCTGTTGTACACCTGTTGAAAATCTGCTAGTATTTTAAGATTTAGACAGTGCAATACAGGAAGGGTTTGGTGTAACTTCATAAATGTACTTTAAGTGTTTTCTATATAAACTGGGATACTAATCCTTGAGACAAAAGTGTGCACTAGAGCATGATATCATACAAATGTGCAGAAGATCTTCATTATGGTAATGGTGACGGAGCACTGGAACGCCTACGGAGGTGGAGTCTCCTTCTATGGACATATTCAAGACCCATCTGGACGCCTATCTGTGTGACCTATTGTAGGTTACCTGCTTTAGCAGGAGGGTTGGACTCAGTGATCTCTTGAGGTCCCTTCTAACCCCCATGATTCTTTGATATCTGAATTCCATAACAGTTATAGGGAAGCTTTGACATTTCCTTTTACAGGCGTAACTTAAAAGCAGTCACAGAAAAGATTGTTGGAAAAAATGTTTTGTTTATTTTTAATTGATAATTTATTTTCTGAACTCTTGTAAGATAAGTAAGATTTTGCTTGGGGTTTTTTTGATCTGTAATGTATTTTTTTTTCCTCACTACTTGTTAGTAATTACATGGGATGTTAATTCAGATCTGCTTTTGTTCAGTTAAATAGTGAATGTGTAGTTTTAGCTTGTACATATCAACAAATTGTACTGTATGATATATATATCTCATACATAAGGCAGAACTGATGGCAGATTGGTTTTCAAAGAAATATTGAATCTAATATTTTTTTTTTTTGTACAGTGTGTTTAGTGTACTGTGCTGAATATATAAATGAATTAGCAGCCATGAACTGGAGGTAAGTGTTTTCAATTACACATTTAAAAGTGTGTTCTTCTAAAATGTTGTTTTCATATCATTCCCCCAAAAGCCTTTAACCTAAAAGAAAGCCACTTAGCAGTGGAATGGGATGGCAGGGAGTCTGTTGCATGGATACAAAACTTTTGAGAAAGCCAGAATGGTACAGGTAGAAGAACAGATGGGATGCAAGCTTTGGGTTTTTTCTTGGTTGGATGGGTGGTGATGGGTTGTTTGTTTTTGGTAGCTGTGAAAGTTTAACAAGCTGAAGTTAAGAACTACTTCTCAAAAACATTGGCACCAGTTTGTATACTTATGTATGTAGATAAAAGTCATTAAAATTTGCCTTTTTACTAAACCTGTATATGAGACATAAATCAGTGGCTTATTTTCATAAGAACTGAAACGACATTTTCCCAGTGTAGCTGAAAACTATATGGTTAGCAATGAAGTTTATCTACAGAAAGTACTGTAAATCTGTGCTTTACTTACCTAAATTACAACCTCACTACATTTAGTATCCACTTAGTTACCTCTTCTAATATGAATAATTAAAATGAATATCTAAGAAAGTAATTTAAAAGATTTCAGAATAAGCATGATTTCTGAGGCACAAATACATCTGCCTGTTTATATAGTCACAGTATGTTATTTTGTCTGTGGTTGTTATATGGGGTCTTGAGCCTTGAAGAAACAGTCTCTTTCTTCAAGCTTCATATAGTAGAATGCAGGCATATGTTTGGGGATCCCAAGAAGTAGGATTGTCTGTATAATATCCATGTTGAATAGTTATTGTAAAAGTATAATGTTTTGTGAATCAAGCTGAATAAAGATTTCTCTTCATTTTTCTTCTTTCAGGCTGTTTTCTAAATACCAGTACTTCGATTCAAGAGGAATGTTTATTTCACTTGTATTTTCAGCACCTCTACTGGTGAATACTATCATAATTGTGGTGCGTATTTATGTGAATACATCTTAAGATGGTAATTAAATGTATATGGATGGATTTAAATGTAATGATTAACCTATTTTTCAGGTCAACTGGGTTTACAGAACTTTAAATGTAATGACTGAACTGAAGATGCTACAGCAGAGAATTAAAGCAGAAAAAGATAAGAAGAAGTGAAAGTGTCTAATACTTTTCCATTTTTAATTTTCATAATACTTGTCCAGATAATCAGTCCTTCTGTATGTTTATCCAGAAGCAGCAATTTTTTGTCTGATATCTGGGACTTAGCAATTGTGGCTATGGACAGTGAGGAAAGGAAGTACCCTTGGTACATCTGATCTTCTTAATGAAATTGAGAAAACTGGGCTCACCAGGTCTTTGTATCCTTCAATGCAAGCTAATTTTTCACCATAACCAAGTCTGTTAATAGCATTGAGAAAGAACCTTCAGTTTCCATTTGCCTATATCTTTTTTTTTTTTCCCCCCCACAAAAACTATGTTGAATTGTCTTTATCAAGTAGCCAGTCTTTCGTTAACTTATGCCAATGGGAGCTATGTTGTGAATTCAAGTAAATGGAAGAATTGCATTCAGAATACCTCAGGAATCCATGCTTCTGTGAAGCATTTCAATTCTTTATAAATCATGTTTCATACTTCCTTTATGTATTGTATGTCAGTGGATAGTTCTGATACAGTAGCATTTTATAAATAAAAATATCCACAGTATCTTAAGTTAATTTGTATTTTTTAAATCTTTCTGTATCTCATACAAGATTTCATCACATCAGTAATTTTCATTTTATTTGTGTAAGTAATTCAAGTCATGATTTTAATGCTGTTGTATAAATACTATTTCTTAAAACTGGATGAAATTTTGATAATCTTTCCCTTATTTGAAGGAAAGAATGGCAGGAGAAAAATGTTAATGTTCTACATTATTTTGTTCATAATTTTTTGCAGTTCTTTTACACTTGACTTTTTTTTAATAAATTACTGAAATGGAACAAAAAAGACTGGTAAGAAGTAAGAAGAGTGCTCTGAGTAACGTGGTTTTCTCGTGTTAAGGAAATGGGAGCAAGGGAGGGATAAAAGAGGGGGAGTTAATATAGTAGAAGAGAGCCCATATATTTTTAGTGAAGGCTTTGTGCAAAGACCTAAGCCCTTGTCTAAAATGATAGAATCACAGAATAGTTTGGGTTGGAAGAGACCTTTAAGATCATCTAGTACCTGCTATAGGCAGAAACACCTCCCACTGGACCAGATTGCTTGAAGCCCCATCCAGTCTGGCACAACCTCACTGGGCTGCCTGTTCCAGTGTCTCACCACCCTCCCAGTAAAGAATTTCTTCCAAATATCTAGTCTAAATCTACCCTCTTCCAGTTTGAAACCATTTTCCCTCATCCTGTCACTAGCTGCCCTTATAAAAAGTCCCTCCCTAGCTTTCTTGTAGGCCCTCTTTAGGTTCTAGAAGGCTGCTATAAGGTCTCTTCAGAGCCTTCTCTAGACTGAAATGCCCTAGCTCTCTCAGCCTGAACTTTTAAGGGAGGTACTCCAGCCCTCTGATAATCTTTTTGGCCATCCTTTGAAGTCTTTCTTGTGTTGGGGACCCCAGAACTGGATACAGTACTCCTGGTCTCATGAGAGCAGAAGAAAGGGGCAGAGTCACCTCCCTCAACCTGCTGGTCATGCTGCTTTTGATGCAACACAGGATACAGTTGGCCTTCTGGGCTGCAAGTGCACATTACCAGCTCATGTTGAATCTTTATCAACCATCACCCCCTGCTCCTTCTGGGCGCAGGGAGGTGATCATCCCCCTGTACTCAGCACTGGTGAGGCCACACCTCAAGTACTGTGTTCAGTTTTGGGCCCCTCACTACAGAAAGACATTGAGGCCCTGGAGTGTGTCCAGAGAAGGGCAATGAAACTGGTGAGGGGTCTGGAGCACAAGTCTTATGAGGAGCAGCTGAGGGACCTGGGATTGTTTAGTCTGGAGAAGAGGAGGCTCAGGGGAGACCTCATTGCACTCTACAACTTCCTTAAGAGAGGTTGTGGTGAAGAGGGGTTTGGCTTCTTCTCCCAGGCAACAATCAGGATCCGGGGAAATAGCCGCAAGTTGTACCGCAGTTTAGGTTAGACATGAGGAAAAACTTTTTCTCTCAGAGAGTGGTCAGGCACTGGAATGGCCTGCCAAGGGAGGTGGTGGAGTTGCCCTCTCAAGCCTGTCCAGGTCCCTTTGGATGGCATCCCTTCCTTCTCACATGTCAGCTGCACCACTCAGCTTGGTGTGGTCTGCAAACTTGCTGAGGGTGTGCTCTATCCCTTGTCATTGTTGATACAATTAATTTAAATTAATTAAATTTTAATTAATTAAAATTAATTGTATCAACATTCAACATTTCAATTAATAGATAAAAAGGATGCCCTACAAAATTGAGCTTAGAGTACTAAGAAGAATGGTTGAGTATGTAAGGTTAGATTGCAAAAAACTGAAGACTAGTGAGGTTTTAACCTTGCCTGTTTTTGTGAAATTAATTTTAAAACCTTGAATAGATTTGACAGCGATGGTAAGCATGAAGATAATCAGATGCATATATACTCATGTTTTGTAAGCATTCCAGCTTGGAGGAGAGTGAAGTGCTCCAGAGGGTTTCACAGAATTGTGGGAAAACAGTGCGCTGTTAGACTGGGATTAAATTATTTTGCCTTTTTCTATGGAGTAACTTAGCATGGCCTTAAATCAAGCATTTCAGACTACTTGGATATTTATATGTGGACAGACTAACAAGCCACCACTACTTTGAAAGAGTGAAGGGAATCCATCTAAATGGATATAAGATAGGATATGGCACCTGTTTTCAAAACCAAAGAACAAGTTTGTTTGATTGTATATAGACAGATAAAGTCCTCCCTGCCTGATTTGGAAGAGTTAATTTTATTCTTACAGTTTGATAGGGCTTGGTATAGAATTTTCATACATAGACCTAAGCTTCACCACACAAACACTGACCTCCCTCCTGTGAACTGTTCTTCAGCAATACTGATGCACAGTTGTTTCAGTGTTGTGTCTACTAGTTGGCGACCCCGCATATAGCAGGGGGCTTGAAAGTAGATGATCATTATGGTCGTTTTCAACCCAGGCTATTCTATGATTCTATGATGGCTCTACGTATTTAAAGCTTTTGTACCCTGTCATACATGAGATACCACCAGATACCAATAGCTTTTGCTTTGGTGTATGAGTTTGATTAACAGTAAATCACACAGTTCAGAGAGAGAAGCCTATTCTCTAAGCAAATCTCTTGCAGTAGAAAACGAAATGTACTTTATTTAGTACATCTAAGGCAGATCTTTCGCAAATATTTCAGTATTTTGTCCTTTTCCTTGGGTGTGAGATGGGAACAATGAAAATGCCCTTTTCTAACACTGTGAATCAGATGGGCAATCAGGACTGTCTTTCCTAGTGTAATAGACCATATAGCAGAAAAGACTTAGTATTGCTAAATTTTCTGTTAATCTGGCTTGGCACAAAATTTATGGACACAAGAAATTCTCCACACCTTAGGGGCTTCCAAGTAAAATTAAAATAAATAAATAAATAAAGTCTGCTTGCCAAAGTTCTCTTTCCTCTTATCCTCAGTGTAATTGACCTTTCAGGCAGTGTTTGATTTCATGTTGTGATAACAGTAGTTATATTGCCATTTAATATAAGATCTCAGGGCACCTCAGTCCTTTAACAGATAAAGTGAGCCCTGCAGTTTGAGTATCAGGGACTTAATTTGTAATTAACAAGAAAAATCTGTTGTGGCTGAATATCATCTGTTTTTTTTTCTGATACCCCTGACATAATGCAATAGCTCACAAGCAGATAATACTTAGAATTTGAAGTACCATCATGGCAGGTGTTATTTAGTACTCTAGGAGTATGCTGAGTGAGAGTATAAACAGATCCCAAAATTTTACTGATATTTTTGAATAGCTAACATTCCAAAATAGACACCAAAATGGATATAAACTTGACTTTAAACCTTCCTTGACTACCCAAACTGCAAGTAAATTATGTTACGAATATTAAATTGTCACAAATTAAATTACAACAGAATGCAAATGTATGTAAATTTTGTTTTGTTCCAGGGAGATCGTTACAGTTCTCGAAGCTTGTCACTAGATGTCACTGTTTCACATGCAGCAGCGTACTCGCAGATTTCCTTAAAGAGTCCGTTCTGGGGAGTTTTTCACATTGGCTTCATAAATACTTTCTGCATCATTCTGAAATAGACATGAAGGCTTGCACTGTAACTACTGCAAGCACAGATTGTCTGTGATCTCCAGTCACTTGCAAATATTTATTTTTCTTTTTTTAAAGCTTCACAATTAGGCATGGAAATAATTATCCCTTCTCACTCACACTTACATTTACTTATGGAGGTCTTCAATTAAAAAAAGTGTAATAACTAAAACAAATATGTTTTTGTGTGAATATGCAGGAATGCTGACTGAAACAGTCTAAACGTAGTGTAGACTGACAGCTTATGTGTTTTCTATTTCTTTGTGATTACCCTTACATAACTCACCATTACAAATCAGTATGTTAAATATGTGTTTATAGTCAGTCATAAATGAGTTTCTCAATATAGAAGTCAATTCAGTCTTTCTGCATAACATGTCAAACAGTTCTTAGTGCTGTTCAGATGTTTGGTGACTTTTTTTTTTTTTTTTTTCAAGAAGCTGTACATGCAGTGTTCTCTTCATGACATTCCTGTTTATTTACTCTTTTAATTCACATGAGCTCCACTTCCACTCACTCCTTCTTTCAACCTTTCAGTCTGAATTTACCTCAGTCCTTTCTGAAATTTACATACATTTGCATGCACTCTGAAAAGATGAGGGTTGTGATATGTAAGCTTCATAATTCAAAACTGAATTGCTTTAATGAGCCTCTGTTCTGTAATCTGTCTTCTGGCCCATTCCTCAGCATTGTATCTGTACTTATGCAGCAGTTTTTCTGCAAACCTGCAGAAGTATACTGGATGGGAAATAACTTACAGGACTTGGGAGGAAGATCTCTACATTTCCTGTGTTTGCATGTACTGCTTCATTTAAATAGGAAACCTTTCTTCTATAGTTTTGCAGACATAATGAAGCTGAGAAAAAAAAAAAAAACCAAAAAACAGGTAAGTTCCAAATGCAATTGATAAGACGCTTGTTAATCAAGCCCTGAAAGAAAAACAAAAGAAAAAAATCTTGTATACCTTTTGTGCTTTCAAGTCCAGCAAGGACCTGGGTTTTCTTAAGGGCATGGGGTCATATACCCTGAAGTCACATATAGAGAGATCTACAAGACACTGAGTCATTTCCTATGTTGCAGGAGTCACAACTTTGAAATCATAGTCTTCACTTTGATTTTGAGATTAATAAGAGAATCACTTTCTGATAGCCGCCTTTGAGAACATGTGATGCGAGAAGTTTGTACTCAACAGAAGTATCGCGAAATTCAGGAAATGGATGAACCAAATAAAACATGTCAGTAGTTCACCAATGAAGTTCTTGGGTTTTTTTTTCCCTAGCAGAATTCAGGGAAGAGAGTATTTGGTTGTTGAAATACATTTGATCCACTTCAAAGTTGTAAAATCTAAGTAGAAATAGTTTTAATTTGTTGGATTTTAGATTATTGCTGTTGAGACCTTTTGTAAGGTAATTGCAATCTATTTTTCTTTTGAAATTACATGGTCAATGCAAATAAAACAGTCCCATTTTATCTATTGCTTCAATTGCCCTAAATCCTAAATTAGTCTAATCCTTCTACTGTAATAATAAAAAAGTCAGGATATAGAACATTTCTTTGATTAACAAAAACTAATTTATATTAAAAAATCAATTAGTAAATAAAATGTGTCCTGAGTTTTCTGCTTACCATATTTTTCAGGCAAAACAAATTTAAAATAAAAACTAGCCACATGGGTTTGTATGTCAGGGAACTATGATAACTCATGTCATGTGATTTTTATATAAATGTTCATATTGAATGTTTTTTTTCATAAACTCATTTATCAATAACAGCTTGTAATTATAAATAAAATAATTTGAAAATGTTCAGAAAGCATAGCTTTGTAAAAATTTAACAAATTCCCTGAGCAATTAACTTGTATAATGATTATTAAAAGTTTTGCAATATGTATATTTGAATGAAATATTTTGGAGAGATTGATTCATACATCTGTTTCAGAAAAGAGAAACACTCTTCTCCAAACTGTCAAGAAACTTATGGAATTTATTATTTGCAAGACTTGCACATTAAGAGAAATCATCCAGGAGACTCTGA